CAGACGTCAGTCACTATAATAAAATTCTAGTGAAATAGCATAGGTAGGTATACTCCATAGCACATGTTTTTGTTCATAATTGAATTTGGATGATACTTTAGACACACTACATATTGCTGTATCTCTAACACTTGTAAAATTTTATTCCTTACAGAGCCTTTATTTTCTTGATAATGGGCTTAGCAATATGCTAGAACACAATGAAGCTAAGGAAGCAGAAAGTAATCAAAGTACCTATAGGAAGAATGAATAGGTATGTCCACGAAGCCTCTTCTGAAACTCTTCTGAAAAGGACTGTCCCAGTTGCGTTAGTTAAATTATTCAGAGAAAAATAATGGAAGTGGCTTCTTCAGATGTGATTTTATTTTCCTTAGGTTTAAGAGCTATTTTCTAAACTAGAGCAAAATGTATTACAATCTTTAAATATACACTAAATTGCATGCTAAGAATGGTACATTAATGTGGGAATCAGCAGTTAGCGTAATGGCTATGTCGCTGGACTCCCACGTAGTCAACTGCGGTTCACATCCCAGACCCGGTGGCTTAAAACTCACGGCAGGCGCGTGTGCGTGCATGCCCAAGATCCGGAGAGGAGAACGGAGGAGAGGGGATTGTGGCATGACCATCCCCCCTGGGGGGTGATTCCTCGCTTTCTGTCTCTATGTCTCTGTCTGTCTGGCGAGCGCAGGCGTCCTATAGTGAAAATCTCTCCAAAAAATAAAAAAAGAATGGTACATTAATGTGAGATTCAAATGATCTTGATAGTGAGTAGCACTGTAATTTGGTTTTAGTCTTCTATTTACAAATTTGAATAAATTTATACAATGAGAAACTGAATTAAAAGATATACTAGGGGTCAACAGGTGGCATGGCGATTAAGGCACTCGATCCCACAGAGCCCACTGTGCAGTTAAGAGTTCTGGACCTGCCAATTTGAAAATACACTGGGTACATGTGCATGCATGCCCTAAAATCCTGAGAGGAGAATGGAAGAGAAGGGATTGCAGCGTGGCCATCCCTCTGGGGGGTGGGGAGTGACTTCTCACTTTCTATCTCTTTGTCTCTCTATCTCTCTGGCAAGCTCATATGCTCTTTAGCAAATATCTCTCTTAAAAAAGTGTGAACTCAGATGAGGTCTCAACCTTTTCCTGTGGTCTCTTCCACCTTCATCTCTATATACTAAGCAGCCTCTTCAGTCTGACTGCCATACTACATCTCTGGGATGATGAGAGATATTCTTACTCTCTAATCCAGAAGCAATAATGGAGAACTATATTAGAAATGAGGGAGACAGCTTTACATTTTGTAAACAACAGGAAGGAATGACCATCAAAAATTAAGTAGTAATAATTTAATGTGAAAGATGAGGTTAATAAAAAAAGAAGACAACTGCAATTGAAAAACCCAAACTTACGACTACTTTATAACTGCATGGAAATCTGATCAGGCTCTTCAAATATTCTCCTCTGATTGTTCTTTGACATCTTTCACCAATATTTCTTACTCTTAGAATGCTTTTCATAAATATTTATGTGAACATTGATTTGACTCTTTTCTAATTTTTGCTGGTCTGCTTTCCTATTTATTAATTTTTTTTCCTAACAGAACAAACACGAAATAGTGGAGTGGTTAAGCATTTCAAAATTTAGTCTCCAATAGACTGATCCCACATGGATGAGCTCTGCATCCAACCTAGAACTATTTTACCACACCAGAACCTCCATGGCTAAACATCCTTACAGAAATTTAATTAAAGAAGTTGTTTTCATTTCTAGCCTGGATTTAACTGCAGTTTCTTTCTCCCTTCCTCCTTTCTTTCTTACCTTCCTTCCTGCCCTCTATTTTATGATTATTTATTGATTTCTTCCGTGAGTGGGAAAGACAGAGAGATAGCACCTTTAACAGGAACTTGATGTCGCAATTCACACTCAGCTACTCCCAGCTCTGGAACATGGACACGCATATGCCTGGAATACTTAGGGAGGTTTTAAGCTTTGTACCCAGAACCTTCCTAAGTTCAGCCTTGCAAAGCATTGTGTTTTACCACGGCAGCAATGCCCGGTTTCCTGCTTCTTACTTTCTTGACTATAGCTTTTATATGGTGAAAAATATAAGTTGCACATGCTCATTATATGAAGAAAATAGATCTATCACATACTAGTTATCAATCTCCAAGGGAAATACTTTGTTTGTCAAAAGTTTTATTGATTGCTCATTTGTGAAAATCCCTGTTCGGTCGTTTCTGGAAGCACATTCTTTGGTGATGTAAATGCAATATCAATTCTTTGAATTCAGGTTGGAATTTTAACAGGAGAGAGAAAGCACAGAGGGTGTTACTTATGGCATAATTTACTATTTGGACACATTCATACGATTTTAACGAAGGACTTTTCTTATTTTCTACTGGTTACAAAGTATTTATAGTTAAAATCCCAAATATGTAAGAAGACATGATTAAAATTATGCACATTTGATACTACAACTTCTTACAGAATGACAGGAACAAATTATTTTTTGTGGTCTTAGTGGAACAGCTGGTGGGCTCAGCATACTTACTAAAAACATTCTCCAGACAAAGTTCCAGCCAGTCACTATTCCTGGTGATTCAGTGTAAAAGTTCTCTTGCTAGAAACACAACAGATGACTATATCCGAGAGATCTAGTGTTGATACTTACTGGAACTGAAACTGAGATCTTGGATTTTTGAATAATGAACTAAAATTGGTTCTCAACAGAATATAAAAAAATAAATATATAAAAATGTAAATTATGATTACCAATGCAGATAATGGCAGCATGAGACTACTATTTTTAGAGGCATTATTAGACATGAGTATCAAAATCTTTAAAGATAAAAAATTAGAAACAAAAGTTTTCATTTTTTAGAGATTTTTGCTATACAGTGCATAGAGACAAAGGAAAAAATGTGAGAAATCACCCCCCAGGGGAAATAGCCACATGGCAATCCCTTCTCCTCTGTTCTCCTCTTGGGATTCTAGGCACACACACATGCACCCAGCATGAGTTTAAAGCTGCCAGGTCTAGGACTAGAATCGTGGTCGACCATGTGGGAGTCCACTGCCTTAACCAGTACTTCACCTGCTGGCCCTGAGAAAAGAAGTTTTAACATTTATATTGAACTAGTCCAGAAACATGAAATTTCTAAGGTAGGAAAAATACATATGATGAAAGTACACAAAAAGTTTTAAAGTGATTTATTTACATGTATAAATCTGTAAATGATCATGTGAATTCAGGACTGATGAGATTTCAGTATCCAGTATTCACAATGACTGGTCAAATAGAGTAAAACAGTAGCTGCCTAAGGGTTGATAAGAAGTGGTGATCCCTGGGTCAGCAGGTGGCGTGGTAGTTAAGGGTGCCAGACTCCCACGTGTCTGATCCCAATTTGAGTCCCCAGACCTGGTGGCTTGCTTTCTCGATTTCTTACTTTCTCTCTCTCTCCCCCTCTCTGGTCAAATAAAAATAAATAAATAAAGTTAAATAAACTAATTCATTTTTTTTTTTGGAGAGGTTTTTGCTATAGGGCATGTGCGCTCGCCAGACAGAGAGAGACAGAGACAGAAAGCGAGAAATCACCCCCTGGTGGGATGGCCATGCCGCAATCCCTTCTCCTCCATTCTCCTCTCGGGGTTTTTGGGCACGCATGCACATGCACCCGGCATGAGTTTAAGCCATCGGGTCCGGGACTCAAACCGTGGTCGACTACATGGGAGTCCAGCGACATAGCCATTACGCTAACTGCTGGTCCCAATAAAACAATTCTTTTTTAAAAAGTAGTGATTTTGGAGCAGTTAACTATTAGTAGAGTCATTAGAGTAGAAGAAATTCAATACCATAAGATGTAAAATATTTGGATTTGCACAGAACATTTCAAAATACAAAAGCCAAACAAATAAAATCACTACTTTCAACTATGACTCACTGTTTTTAATGTTAATTTATTTCTCTCATTAGAGAAGGGCACACACATACACAGAAAGAGAGAGGCAGGCACCCTCAATAGGGTCTTCATGCTTTGATATGCCCATAGTCTCAGCCAGCCAAGATCACCTTTAAGCACCATGTGCCCACTGTACACAGGGAGATCTCTGGATGTGAACCTGGGACTTTCCCATATTGCCTCAGCATTATGAAGTGTGGCTGGCTATATGCCTCTTTTCTTTAAAATTCTACCAGAGGGTACATGTACTCACTTTGGGGAAATAAAGAAACAGTGAGAGGAAGAAGAAGAAAGTACCCCCCCCAGTGGGGTGTGGTCACACTACAGTTCTTTCTTCTCCATTTTTCCACTCTGTCAGGACTTGGGCCTACAAGCACACACACTTGGCATGTGTTTCAAGCTTCCAGTGCCAGGATTCAAACTGCATAGTCGGCCATGTCACTCCTTTAACCACCAGGGGATGGGGTTGGCCCATATATTCTTCACTTTTTTCCTTTGAGACTTATTTATTTAATTTTATTTATTATTAGTTTTAAATCTGCTACAGGGCACATACACTCACCAGAGAAAGAGAGAAGGAAAGAGAAAGCAAGTGGTCAGGTCTGAGACTCAAACTGCAGTTGACCATGTGGGAGTCCAGCACCTTAACCACCATGCTGTCTGCTGGCCCCTATTCTTTTCTTAAGAGGACTTATATTCTAAGTAGATATTTTAGCACAGGTATAATCTTCTGACCAATTCTTACTTAATCTATAACACACATTTCAAGATGAAACTGTTTATATGCAATGTAATCTCTTTCTATGTCAAACCAACTTTACCAAATGGGAATAAGTTCGTAACACAGCTGCATGAGGATCAGAGGCAAACCAAGTGAACCAATCCAGTCTTCAAAATATAGGACATCTTTGATTTAACATCATACTGTGGCCATCAATTTTCATGAATTATTCTGCAAGACTCATGCATGCTTTAATCTATAGGAAGCAGGCAAGGCTCCTTGACTTTTATAAATAAACAATAAAACAAGACTTACCAGCTCCTTCTTTGCTTTGTCTGTCAGAAAGTACCTGCAAAAAATAAATAAATAAATAAAACACAGTTATACCTCTTTTGTTAAAAATATGTAGGCTCTTCAAAAAGTTCATAAAAAATGCATATTATGAAATAATTATGCATAGAACTGAATTTTTTTACACCAAAATAAACAATTAGAATTAATTCCACTTTTTCCAAAACATTACAAGTTCTCCCTGCATAATCATTAAGCTCAAAACAAAAAAATCAGATAGTAAAATTAGCAGCGAATGGTCTCCAGAAATAAACATAAAATACTAACTGGCATAAAATACAATGATTTTAGGCACTAGAGAAATCATTTTGAATAACAACAGTACAGCAATCAAAAAATTATAGATGCAGTAAGTTTGCTTTTCTTTGGCTTAAATAAAGTTTTACCATGTGTCCATTTAATAGCTGTGAAGACTAAAGTCTAGTTTTTTGTTTGCTTGTTTGTTTAATTTTACTGTAGGGTGCATGTACACTCTAGAGAGAAACAGAAAGAGGGAAAGTGAGAAAGCACCTCCCCAGGGGCAATGGCCACACCATAATCTCCTCCACTCTCTCAGGATTTGGGCATGCACACATGTGAGCCTAGATTGTTTTTCAAACTGACAGATCTGGGACCCAAACAGCACAGTTGGCCATATTTGTTTCTGCCATCTTAACTACCATGCCACCAGCTGACTTTAAGAGTCTAGTTTCTATCCAATACTCCACTGCACTCCTGACACCAACTCTTTTCTTAACGCTAAATCCAGGACCTACCTTACTTTCTCTCTTAGTAATACCACAGTGGCCAACATAGCTGATCACTCCTCTCATCTGAAACTTGACCCTTCTGTACTCCCACTCTGTCACTGTTACCTTTTTTACCTCTATATCTATACCTTATCATTTTCTTGATGAGCTCCCTTTTTTAGTTTTATCATCTTTTGTCACAGATTGGTGCTGCATCTTCTCACTTTGCATCTTCTATGGTGATCTCATCTACTTTCCATCCATATTCTGACAACTTTAAGATTTATAACTCTTGCTCAGGACTCTATCCTTGAGCTGCAGATCCAGAGAACAAGCAGCTGATTGGATATCTATACTTGGACAATCTACAACTGATGCCTCAAACTCCATGCATTTGAATCTCAACATCCTCTCGTTCCCTTCTTACCCTCTTCCTTCTTCTCTCCTGGCCACATACATAGCCTCAGTCACAACTGATCCTCTTGTTGTGTAACCACCTTGATGATTGGCATCATCATCTACCTGGTTGCTCAAATCAGAAATCCAAAGATCAAAACAGACTCCTTCTTGTCCACACTAAATCCTGTTGATGCCCAGTCGCCAAACTTTCTGGGATCTATCTACTACTTTTCATCCCTTTGGCATCTCCTGGGCAACATTCAAGTCTTACTTAGATGACTGCAATACAAGTTGAGACCATTTTCAAAATGTTTGAGACTTGAAATGCTTTAGACTTCAGACTTTTATTTGGATTTTTAAAAATATTTGCATATATATAGTGAGAAATTGTGGGATAGGGTCCAAGTCTAAAGACAAGATTTATTTATGTTTCATATATACCTTATACACATAGATTGAAGTAATTTTACATAATTTTTTGTATTGCAGCATTTTTACTGCAAACATTACATGAGATCAGGTGTAGAATTTTTACTTGTGACATTATATTAGTGCTCAAAAGTTTCAAATTTTGGAATGTTTCAAATTTTTGATTTTCATATTATGGATCCTCATCCTATAGTTTCTTAATTTCATTTTCTTTTCTTTACTTTTTTGTTTTCCTTTCTGTCTATTTTGTTTGGTTTGGTTTGGTTCTTTTATTTTTAGACACAAGGTCCCACTGTGTTTTCTAGGCTGGTGTTGAACTTGAGTTACTCTTGCCTCAGCCTCCAAGTAGCACCTGCCTTTTCTAAGTTCTTACTCTGATTCTAGTCTTATATCTTCCCAATCTATTCATTACTAATATCAGTTTTTTCTTTTCCTTTCTTCCTTCCTTCCTTCCTTCTTTCCTTCCTTCCTTCCTTCCTTCCTTCCTTCCTTCCTTCCTTCCTTTTTTTCCCCTATAGATCACATGCACTTGCCAGAGAGAAAAAGAAAGAGGGAAAGTGAGAACGCCTTACCACTCTTCCCTTCTATTCCCCTCTTGGGATTTTTGGGCACACATGCACTTGTGCCTGATATATTTATCTTTCTTTCTTTTTCATTTTTAAGAGTTTTTTGCCTTAGGATATGTGTGCTTGCTGGAGAGAGAAAGGGACAGAGACAGAGACAGTGAGAGGAAAAGTGAGAAATCACTCCATCCCCAGGGGTGATGGCCACACCTGAATCCCTTCTTCTCCATTTCCCCCAGGATCTTAAACATGCATGCACACGTGCCTAGTGTGATTTTGAAGGCACCAGGTCTGGAACTCGAACCGTGGTCAGCCATGTGGGAGTCCAACAACATATCTACTATGTCATCTGCTGGTCTCTCTGACGTATTTCTCAAGCACCAGGTCCAGGATTCAAACCATTCAGTTAGCCATGTGGATCCAGACGCCTTAACCACCATGCTACCTGGCTGGCTCACCAATGTGATCTGTCTAAAAACAATTTGATCACACTGATCCTCTTCTTAAAACCCTTAATGGGTCCCTTACTATCCTTAGGACAAATAGAGTAAGTGGCTAGAATCCTATGTTTAGCAACTAGAAAGACAATTTCTAGGGGCAGGACCTTAAGAAAGTTATGAAATTTCTCTAAGCTTTCTTTCCCACTCAATAAATTGGGGCTGCTTTGAGAAAAACATACAATAATTCATGCCAGGGACTGTAAGGTGGCATGATGGTTAAGGGTGCTGGACTCACACATGGTCAACCATGGGAGTCCCAGACCTGGTGACTTGCTTTCTCACTTTTCCTCTCTCTCTCACTCTGTCTCTCTCTGGTCAAATTAAAATAAATAAATAAATGAAATGAAATAAAATAATTCTTAAAAAATAATTTATGTGATATTCTGAGTCTCATGTGTATGTGTAGCACAGAAAGACAATAAATATTTGTTAATTTTTTTGAAGGAAATTCTGTTGACATTTCTGAAAAATAGAGGCTTACATTTTACTAACATCTAAAAAATATTTATTTAATTTTATTATTTTTAATTTGCTGTAGGACACATGCACCCACCGGAGAGAGACAGAGACAGAGAGAGAGAAAATGAGAAAGCAAACTGCCAGATCCAGGACTTGAGCCATGGCCAGCCATGTAGGAGTCCTGCAGTTTAACCATCACACCACTTGATGACCCCTTATTAACTTTTTAAAAACATTAGGCACATAATGCTGTACTTAGGAGCAAAAGAGGGAAAATACCTTGTCCTTAATATCACAATTCTTTTCCACCCCATTTTTAATTCTCTCTCTTTCTCTCTCTCCTTATTCTATGACTCTGTTCATACTTCCCCTGAGGTAAAAGAAAAGTCCAAAGAGTTGGTAACGGACAATGAGAAGAGTCACTTTTTCCCAAAGTTATTCACACATCAAAAGTGTATGATCTTACAACAAACATCAAGTAATAAACCTCTAATGGTAAAACTTTAGATGCTGTAACAAATGGGAGAGGAGTGATCTCTGTATTTGTCAAATAATATCAGAAAGGTGTTTGCTTACTGTCCTAGATAGAACTCAACCTGACTAGAATATGATATATATTATATCTACATGGTTCCTACTTGGTTTTGAAACAAATTAGTTTTAATGACTATGTGACAAAACAAAACAAAATAACAACAAAAACTAGCAGAATAAAATTACCTAAACATAATATTGGGTTGTCAGAAAAGTCATGACATTTTTTTTGTTTTTTCCATGCAATGGCCTTATTTTCTAATAATAATAAAAAATAGAAATAACTCAGTAGAACTCTTACAGGTCAATTGTTTGAAAAATCTTATTAGTATAGAGCAATTTCTACAGGGAAATTTCAACCTGAATGTTTAAAAAGAAAACAAAACACAATAATTAGTCATACATTAATAATAATAATAATAGATGATACTGGCACAAGAACTGAAAGTCAGGCAAGTTGTTATTTAATGGATACAAAGATTTAATTTTTGTAAGATTAAAAGTGTTCTAGAGAAGGATGGTGTTGATGGTTGCACAGCAACGTGAATGTATTGATACCACTAAACTGTGCCCTTTAAAATAGTTGAGATAATAAATTGTAAGTTATGAGCATTTTATCGCAATTTTTAGAAAAGGACTCTTTAAAGAATTATTAGATGTACACATTCTGTTGCAGACCCGTAAGTTGAACCTCCACTGCTTAACACTTCCAACTCTTCTGTTTGGAAATCTAATAGAGTAGGAACCCTTTAGACCCCAGTAATATAACATTAATAGATTACCATTATGATCCCAAACTGATTTATGGGTAGATAAAGGAATTATCAGTATCTTGAACTAATTACTAATAATCATGAGATTGTAGTTACTTTGAAGACATGCAGAAAGGGTATTTTTTGGGGCTGAATGTGGGACAATGTCAGGTATTCACTGATGCCAGTAAAGTTAGATTACATGTGCCTGGACCACCAGTGGGTGATCTCTCTGGATATTTTATTAAATAAGTATTTGTTGAGTATGTAGGCATCATACACATTTCTAGCACTATGTTGGGTGCTTGACCCTGTCTCTCTGTGGTACAGGAAGCCAGGAGCAGCTCAGTAGTTCAAACTGGAGATTCAAGAACTCTAAAGTATTAGAATTATCTGATGCATAAGTGTCATGGGAAAAAAAATCATAACTTTAGCGGGACCAGCAGATGGCGTAATAGTTACATCACTGGACTCCCATGTACTCAATTGCAGTTTGAGTCTTGGACCCAGTGGCTTAAAGCTCATGCTTGGCACATATGCATGTGCCCAAAATCCTGAGAAGAGAACGGAGGAGAAGAGCTCACAGTGTGGTCATCCCCCTGGGGGGAGGGAGGGATGTAATTTCCCACTTTCT